TTCCTTTACCTGCTTCATCATCAAGTTACGTTGAGAAGATTACTCTCCCGAACGAGTCGACTTCGAATCCATTGGGCCGGATGAGCCATACCGTTTTGGCTCCTCCATCAGTTGAGTCTACAGGTCTGAGGCAGAAGAAAAACGGAAGGCATGCAAGCAATGGCCATGCATCGACAACGTTACTTAATGAAGTCTCTTCTGCTATTACTGCCAAAAATCGTTCGGAACAAACCGTTGATGGCTTTGGAGAGGTCTGCATACCAAAACCTGTCATAGGAGATGAGGTAAACGGGCATGAGCAGTGACTTCCGATATGTGTACTTCAGGTTTCTCAACTCTCTCCCAATTCAATACGCCCAAGGCATAACTCCTACCCAGTACGATGATTCTACCTGTAGACTTACCAATGCTGATGACATCACCTGGACAGTTACACTAGGTATCTATAATCACATCATAGTCCACCCTTTGGAAGACACAAATAGGATATACTCTATCTCAAAGTCATTGACGGTGCTGGAATACGTGTTCGCATTTCTCGCCAGAGCTTAGAAAAGCGAGCACCTATGATACAAATTTACATACGAATTCTGCTACGGGTGTACAGCAAAACAATAAGAATTTCCCAAAATTTTCTCAGATTTCCTCTAATGTCACTAACACATGTAGTTGACCATGTGCCTATTCTCCCACACTGGTCATTGCTGAGTCACAGAGCACTGAGACTCATCCCCGAATATGCGGCTCGATCAAGCCGACTGACTAAAAACCCCAAACACAGTGGAATTTGATCGTTAAGAGACCTGAATACCGTATGTACTCATTACTTATTAATCAATGATTACGCTAATTTCAGGGTATCAATTTTCTTCACTGGCAACCCCAGTGTGGGATCACTTGATATCCAGAAAAATTTTCTTGGGAATGTAGAGTCTCTACAGTAGAGAAGTGGTGATTTCCCGCTCCCTCACTCATCGGACGCTCCTCCAACCGATGCAGCAGACCCGAACAAACTCAGCCAGCACCCCTCTAACTCTCGCAATCCTCCACAATCAGCGCTTTTCGCACAAAACCAACCGCACAGGTTGGTGTCGCCTATGTGTGTCTGACACGCACAAGTTGTGCGGCACAATCGTATACACGAATTTCCTACACTTCGCTCAACATATGATTCACAGACTGGCGATTGCACCGGGTTCACAGTTTCGCCGCCGTAGATAATAGTAATAGTAGGTTGCCGTACTTAAGTTTAGTAGCTACGTAGGAACCAACCAACACATCTTACTATAACAATATACTAGTCAAGGACTAGGTTTTGTTTCACTTGTCTAGGAGGATGACTAGGTTTTGTTTCACTTATCTAGGATGACTAGCAGTCATCCTCCTAAACAAATGAAACAAAACCATACTAAAGTGTTCACACGTCCCTATGGAGCGGCACACACGCATATATGAAGTCAGTGGATCATCCTAATCGGCCGTCGAGCTCCCTCTGCGGTCTGACTACTCATGCAATTGCAAGAAATCCTGTACATTTCATGCAGTTGCATGTACATAGTGCCACTGTAAGGTATTTAGTGCTGGATTCAGGGCCAGCCCTAGTATCTGGGGTTTCCGTGACACCTCTACCATAAAGGTAGTAATGCTACATATTGTTATCGCCCTGAGGATACTTATTACAATGCCTGTTAGCTGTTCATAAGATGTTCTACCTTTCTATGTGACTCTATACCAGAGCTGCTGTTAAGGCATCACCAATATTAAAGCATCATCATCATCATCCTACTCATCTCTAATACATTATTGCTGCTATCATCGTATGCTCATACTGCTCATAGTCATCGTACAACAACAATTACCATTTTTGCATTGGCTACTAGATGGTACAACATCCTCATGTTGTCTTCAAGATGATGTACTTAATGTTCATTGTTTGATTACTATGAGTGAAGATACGTCTCCTCGCCGCCCTACTCGTCGTCGTGTAAGATCCAAGTATCGTATTATTGGATTGTTGTTATTGAGTATAACATGTATGATAGCTACTGCAGTTGGAGGAGTGTATATGGTATTTAATATTATTATACCAAGGTTGGTAGAGATAGATACACACGACAAGGTAGTAGTTAAGTTCTATTGTGCTACATGTTCCATATCGACAGGTTCTATACCAATTATCTACTAATGTCGAGTTATTGGTAATGTCAGCAATGGATACTATAAATGATGATGATTTACGATTATTGGTTAGAGAGGAAGCATTGATATTAAGAGGTATTGGTAGTATAATAATATCCATTTATCCTTATTAGATACAAGACTAACTGATATTAATATGCAAGTTGATAATGCTGCTAACATGATCTATCAT